AAATGAAAATGAATGTACAAACGAAAGTTGGCGACAGACGTAGTCTATCAATTAAATATCTCTTGGGACACTCTTATCATGTATTATTAAAAATATTGTGTCATTTACATTTCGATAATATTGTAATTCCATCAACCAGAGAGTATTCCGACTTTTCAGCTTATTTCATTCATTGCTTTCCTGTTTAAGCGATATTGATGGAGAACAGATAAGTAACGATAATCTCATCCTTACAATAATCAGTGTGAACAATCATATCGATATTAGTCAGAAGTGTTAACGACACACGTTGATGACGTATGAAACACGTACGGAGAGAAAGAGGAGAGAGAGAGAGAGAGGGGGTGAAATTAGAAAGGAAAATTTTTCTTGTAAAAGAGAGAAAATTCAGAGGACCTGGCTTTCGCTTAAATATCCGTCCTCCTTTTTCCATCAGGCACGTAATTCAATTTATCCACGAACACGAGGGCGAATAGGTATTTAAGACATACGCCGTTAGCTCCAGAAAATGCATTAACTCGCTGACGCACGCGCAACATACGTTCGTGTACTGTAAATGCGTTAAATTGGGTCATTTCAGAGCAACAGCTCATGCTCGATGATGTGCCACGATTCTTCGTATATTCTTCGTATACTTGTGTGCGTGCCTGATAGGTCGTGTATTCTTTATTAGGGCCTCGTGTTATTTTAGCATTAATCCTTAAATTACCGATGATTTATCCTCTTGAAGAGCATGATAAGAGCTGTAGATTTTTACGTTCATTGACAGCTATTTAAAGAGCGATTGTAAAAAAAGATTAAAAAGATTTTTTTTTTTTTTTAGTTTTTTTACAGTTCTTTGAGTCAGCAATTTAAATCTTCTAAAAGATTTTTAATCGATTAGTCAAAGATATTTCAAGAAAGATCGTTTATCGCAATATTTTCCACATTCATTATTACACACACACACACACACACACACACGCGCGCACATATTTCTAATAAATCTTAAAATTTCACCAAAGTAGAGCTTAAAATTAATTTAAATCTGGAAGAAATGATTTTATTTATTTTTTTTGCAGCTTGTTACAATATAATCTTTAGAAAGACCTTTTTATTTCATCGTTCACAACTCCAGAGTCATTAAGTGCGTCAAGGCGCATTAAATTGATATACAATTCAACATTACTGATGCTAATAAGTGTCTTGTAGACTAGTAAAGCAGTAAATTAATGTACTCACTAGATCTGCAAGATGAATGACTCTTAATATTAAACTGATTATACAAGATGGCCTTTGGGAAATTGCTGAAACTGAATGGCTGCTGTTATTTTGTAACGACTGGACAAAGTAAAATGAGTTAAA